CCACAATGCGTGGCTATTTTTTTTGGTTGCAGCCATCTTTGTTGTTTGGTGGGCTCTGGTTGGATTCGAACCCGCCATCTTAAGTGTGACTGGCACCTTAGCCACTTGAGCCACAGGCGCCAAGCTTTAAATCATTTCTAATGTCTCTTTCTCCTCCATCCTCATAAACTCTAAATGTTCACACTGTCAGGCTCTCCCTTAGCCTGGTGTATAGCTCCTGAAAAAATAACTCTTATTTGTCCTTCAACGATTACTGAAGGTAGCTTTTTAAGTTACAGCAGCAGTCTTGACTCTGCTTTTTTTTTTTTAAACAGAGATTTGTTTTTTTATTTTATTTATTTATTTATTTTGTTGCAGTTTTTGGCTGGGATTGGGTTTGAACCCACTACCTTCGTCATATGGGGCAGCACCCTACTCCTTGAGCCACAGGTGCCACCTTTGACTCTGCTCTTCATCCAACATTCAGTGGAACCTGCAGGGTACAGGGCTAACATGTAGAGTAGGCTGCACACATTCATACGTGGCACTCCCACAAGGCCAAGAGCTTCATAAAAGCAGGGACATATCTTTTTCATGTCTGCGTTACCAGCATCTAACATAGCATCTGGCACACACAAAGAAGGGGACTCTAGTGAAATCAGAATGAATTACTTCATCCACAAAATACTTCTTTAATTCCCAATAGAGACATCAGCATTTTGGATGGTCCTCTCTACTGTGCTTTTTATTCCCAAGTAAATCTCTGCAGCCCAGTGAAACTATTTCCAGGGCCCAAGAAAACTCAAGTTAAATTCCCTCTCCTCATTGCCCAGTATTTCCAGGGACAACCCTGAACACCTTTGAACTTTAACTTCATTTGGTCTCGTTTTGCTGCTTACAGTAGGTGTTGGCGAATTTTTTTTGTAGAGTCACTCAGTAAATATTTTATACTTTCTATGTCACATGGTCTTCATCACAACTACTCAGTTTTGCCTGAAAGCAGTCACGAAAAATATGTAAATGAATGACTGTGGCTATATGCCAATAAAACTTTATTTACGGATAATGAAATTTGAATTTAGCATAATTTTTATGTGTCACAAAATATTGATCTTCTCTTGATTTTTTTCCCCAAGCAGTTAAAAATGTAAAAAAAAACACTCTTAGTTTGCAGTTCATATGAAAACAGGTGTTAATCCAGATATGGCCTAGGGGCCATAGTTTACCAAATCCTTAGTCCAAAAAGCTAGGTCTGTGTCTGTCACTTCCCTGCTCCAAAACCTCTACTGAGTGTTCCTTGCTTCTGGAATAACTGAACCTCTGTGCCGTCACTCAGGGCTTCCATAATCTTGCCCCAAGACCACCCTTCCTTCATTATGTCTCGCCACTCCTTAGTCTTAACATGCAGTCCAGTCAAAAGGGACTATTTCGCACATTTCCCCCTAGACCGGGAGCTAGGGACAGGGCTGAGACTACGTCTGCTTCACCCTTGGGTCCCCCACACATAGCACAGGCCCTGGCATGGGGCAATCACTCCATAATGTTAATGAATGAGTGAAAACACCTGACGTTATGCTTTCCTTAAGCTGTTTCAGCTGGGCTCTTATTTGCAGACTGAGTACAGTCTGGGTCATGGCCAGGAAGTAGAAAAAATGAAGAGAAGGAAAAGCAGCATGACCAATGTGATCCAAGCAATGGAAAATAGGTTTTAAGAGTGAAGTAAAAGAAACCAAGGCTGTTTAGCTGGGAGAAGTGGAGATGAGGCCTAACTGGATTCTGGCTTTAAGTACAGAAAAGGTGCTCATGAGAAAATCTTGATCTCATTCTCCTTTTATAATCAGAAGAAACTTTTTCATTTTCATGGAAAATGGAACAAGAAGAAATAGCTTAAGTGAAGCCAGAGGGGTTTAAACTGGAGAGAAAAAAGAACCAAATTAGGCATTACTTTTCCAGAGATACACTTTGGCAAGTGGACAAGAGAGGTCTTGCTTAGCACTTTTGATGAAGGATGGGCAAAGGGAATAAATGCACTGCTCTGTTCCTGTTTACTGAAGAAAGAGGGAGGTGAAAACAAGTCAGGTATGACTTTCTAACAAGCCACTGACTCTCTATTGAGAGAAAAGTCTCTCTTTTCCTATGGGCACTTTTTGTCATGACATGCTTCGCAACCCTGTAAAAGAACAATCTAGTATTTCAAAGTTTCTGATTGGAAAATGAAAAGAAAGAGAAGGCAACCATGCCAGAGTAAGGAAGATGGCTGTTAAATATACTTTCTATAAAAATAGTACTTAAGTGGGCATTAATATAATTGTTGAAATTATTCGTATTAAAACTAACATTCATCGAGCATCTACCACGTGCCAGACACTGTGAGGTTTGTAAGTTAGCTCAGTTCTCATAACAGCCCCACAAGATAGGTAATATTTGTATCCCCATTTTACAGATGAAGAAACTGAGTCTCAAGAAGGTTAAATAACTTGCCCAAGTCACTTGCCTAGCAAGCAACAGAGCCAGGACTCAACCCATGCAGTCATTTGCTGGAGTATATTCTCCTAACTACAGTCTCCCTATAATGTTGGAAGGCTGGAATTTAAACCCCAGTCTTTCTGAATCATGTTCATATTCTCAGGCACTTCCTTGTACTGCCCCAAGCAGGATGAGGGAAGCAATACAGGACATTAGCAAGAGACAAGGCCTCAGAGGCAAACCAAAATACTCCCCTATTATGGAAAAAGAAGCTGAGATTGAGGACTCACAGGTGATGATGAGCAGAACCAGGACTTTAATACCAGCCTCTTGCCTCCAAGTATAATGCTCTTTCCTCCATTATAGATTCTTATCGCATCTGAGGATGAGAAAACGAAGGACCAGGATATGCCAAATGGTTTGCCTCCCTGGGCAGACACTTTTGTAATGAACTTCCAGTCTCTCACATTAGAACCTGTGCCTGAATTACAAGTGTCCACAGCCTCTGTAAACTGGTTCTAAGATTCTGCTAGCTAATGATAGCAATGCACAGATTACTGGTACTGCAGGAGCTGCCAAAATGTTCATGTATTAAACCTGGTCAAGTAGACCTAGACCAGGGAGCTTCCATGCTGGCCAGTAGTTTACGGTTGAAGCCACCTCACTGAGGTCCCCGTTCTGGGACATTCTTTGCTCCAGTCTAACCTCCAACCCGCAGACAAAGTAAACACAGCCCGAGTCATGGCATCTGGAGCTGGGTGATAAGGGAAAGAACACAGGCCTTGGAATCCAGCACTGCTAGGTTTGAACCAAGCTATGCCACTTACTAGCTGCCTGACCTTGGGGAAGCTGCTTCAATCTTTCCAAGGTCTGGTTTCTTCATATTACAAAATTGTGCAGATTAAATAAATTAAAGTGTCCAGAT